GCCATTATCAGGACCTCAAAATTGAACTGCAAAGGCTCTGGCATCAACCAGTCCAGGTGGTCCCAGTGGTCATTGGCACACTGGGTGCCGTGCCAAAAGATCTCAACTGGCATTTGGAAACAAGAAACATCGACAAAATCACGATCTGTCAACTGCAAAAGGCCACCTGACTTGGATCTGCGCGCATCATTTGAAAATACATCACACAGTCCTGGACGCTTGGGAAGTGTTCGACTTGTGATTTTGTGATATGAAATCCAGCATATATAGATCTCGGTTGCTGTGACATATTGCGTTTTTGTGTCAGTAAAATAATAGTAATAATACACTGGATCTCGTCAGCTGATACAGATGCGTGGTTGTGAATTCACCGTAAACGCATGGCTTCTTCCTAGCTGCCTCTTGAAAACCTTGCTAAAACTTTCCTCTTAGTCAGCTGGTTTTCATGGAGTGCTCACTTGTTGGATCTGCCTCTTGAAAAAATGTTTGTGAGTGTTTTGTGAGGGGGAAAAATCCAAAAAGGTCTTGTGGCTGTAATGGTATGTGTATTATTGCCCGACTTCTCATTATTCTTGCTAGCAGCAAGCCATAAAATTTTTACATGCTCATAAATTGCTCTAAGTGGTTCGGAGTAAACTATTTTAGATAGCTTGGTTAACTCAGCATTGTACCTTTTTTTAAAAAAAGGAAAGTGTTCAGGGCAGGGAAGGTTTAGTTAAATATCATAAGAAACACATGAAAACAATGGGACATTGAAAGGCGATTGGGCGTCTCCTTGGTGTCTACTTGAAAACAAGAAGCTGGCATAAGGAATGAGTCTTCTTAAAGCTTTTTGTATCTGTGTGATCTGCTGTAATACTTTGGTTTATTTATTTACTTATTTACGGCATTTATATGCCGCCCTTCTTACCCCGAAGGGGACTCAGAGCAGCTTACAATATATATATATATACATACAATATATTATATTATTAGCATAGTACAATATCAGTATGGTTGGTATCCTTGAAGTGACTGGCTTGACTCTGAAGGAGCTGGGGGAGGTGAAGGCCAGCAGGGCATGGGATGAATGAACAACAAACAATATCAGTATTATATATTACTATATTGTAATATTATTAGTAATATTACAGGTAATATATAATTATAATATATTATTATTATATTGTATTACATTATTATATAAATATTATAATGTATATACAATACATTATATTATTAGCATAACACAGGAGGCAAGGTGGAACTGTCTTCTGGCCCCCTCTCTCTTCACTCTGGCCCAGAGCGGCAGTTGGTGCTGGGGGGAGGGGTCCCCAACTGATGACATATGCAGGAAACAAGATGGAACTGTCCCCTGGCCCCCTCTCTTCACTCTGGCCCAGAGCGGCAGTTGGTGCTGGGGGGAGGGGTCCCCAACTGATGACATATGCAGGAGACAAGGTGGAACCGTCTTCCTGGCCCCCTCACTCTTCAGTCTGGCCCAGACCAGCAGTTGGTGCTAGGGGGAGGGGTCCCCAACTGATTACATATGCAGGAGACAAGATGGGACTGTTCCCTGGCTCCTCACTCTTCAGTCTGACCCGGAGACGTAGTTGGTAGTGGGGGGATGGTTCCCCAACCAATGACATATGCATTAGACAAGATGGATCTGTCTCCTGGCCCCCTTTCTCTTCACTGTGGCCCAGAGTAGCAGTTGGTGCTGGGGGGAGGGGTCCCCAACTGATGACATATGCAGGAGACACGATGGAACTGTCTTCCTGGCCCCCTCTCTCTTCACTCTGGCCCAGAGCAGCAGTTGGTGCTGGGGGGGAACTGATGGCATATGCAGGAGACAAGGTGGAGGTCCCCTGGCCCCCTCTCTCTTCACTCTGGCCTAGAGCGGCAGTTGGTGCTGGGGGAGGGTTCCCCAACTGATGACATATGCAGGAGACAAGATGGAACTGTCCCCTGTCTCCCCCTCTCTTCACTCTGGCCCAGAGCAGCAGTTGGTAGTGGGGGGAATGGGTCCCCAACTGATGACATATGTAGGAGACAAGATGGAACTGTCTTCCTGGTCCCCTCTCCCTCCACTCTGGCCCAGAGCAGCAGTTGGTGCTGGGGGGAACTGATGATATATGCAGGAGACAAGATGGAACTGTCTTCCTGGCCGCCTCTCTCTTCACTCTGGCCCAGAGCAGCAGCTGGTGCTGGGGGGAACTGATGACATATTCAGGAGACAAGATGGAACTGTCTTCCTGGCCCCCTCTCTCTTCACTCTGGCCCAGAGCAGCAGCTGGTGCTGGGGGGAACTGATGACATATTCAGGAGACAAGATGGAACTGTCTTCCTGGCCCCCTCTCTCTTCACTCTGGCCCAGAGCAGCAGTTGGTGCTGGGGGGAACTGATGGCATATGCAGGAGACAAGATGGAACTGTCTTCCTGGTCCCCTCTCCCTCCACTCTGGCCCAGAGCAGCAGTTGGTGCTGTGGGAAACTGATGGCATATGCAGGAGACAAGATGGAACTGTCTTCCTGGTCCCCTCTCCCTCCACTCTGGCCCAGAGCAGCAGTTGGTGCTGGGGGGAACTGATGATATATGCAGGAGAAAAGATGGAACTGTCTTCCTGGCCGCCTCTCTCTTCACTCTGGCCCAGAGCAGCAGCTAGTGCTGGGGGGAACTGATGACATATTCAGGAGACAAGATGGAACTGTCTTCCTGGCCCCCTCTCTCTTCACTCTGGCCCAGAGCAGCAGCTGGTGCTGGGGGGAACTGATGACATATTCAGGAGACAAGATGGAACTGTCTTCCTGGCCCCCTCTCTCTTCACTTTGGCCCAGAGCAGCAGCTGGTGCTGGGGGGAACTGATGACATATTCAGGAGACAAGATGGAAATGTCTTCCTGGCCCCCTCTCTCTTCACTCTGGCCCAGAGCAGCAGCTGGTGCTGGGGGGAACTGATGACATATTCAGGAGACAGGATGGAACTGTCTTCCTGGCCCCCTCTCTCTTCACTCTGGCCCAGAGCAGCAGCTGGTGCTGGGGGGAACTGATGACATATTCAGGAGACAAGATGGGTCTTCCTGGCCGCCTCTCTCTTCACTCTGGCCCAGAGCAGCAGTTGGTGCTGGGGGGAACTGATGGCATATGCAGGAGACAAGATGGAACTGTCTTCCTGGTCCCCTCTCCCTCCACTCTGGCCCAGAGCAGCAGTTGGTGCTGGGGGGAACTGATGATATATGCAGGAGACAAGATGGAACTGTCTTCCTGGCCGCCTCTCTCTTCACTCTGGCCCAGAGCAGCAGCTGGTGCTGGGGGGAACTGATGACATATTCAGGAGACAAGATGGAAATGTCTTCCTGGCCCCCTCTCTCTTCACTCTGGCCCAGAGCAGCAGCTGGTGCTGGGGGGAACTGATGACATATTCAGGAGACAGGATGGAACTGTCTTCCTGGCCCCCTCTCTCTTCACTCTGGCCCAGAGCAGCAGCTGGTGCTGGGGGGAACTGATGACATATTCAGGAGACAAGATGGAACTGTCTTCCTGGCCGCCTCTCTCTTCACTCTGGCCCAGAGCAGCAGCTGGTGCTGGGGGGAACTGATGACATATTCAGGAGACAGGATGGAACTGTCTTCCTGGCCCCCTCTCTCTTCACTCTGGCCCAGAGCAGCAGCTGGTGCTGGGGGGAACTGATGACATATTCAGGAGACAAGATGGGTCTTCCTGGCCGCCTCTCTCTTCACTCTGGCCCAGAGCAGCAGTTGGTGCTGGGGGGAACTGATGGCATATGCAGGAGACAAGATGGAACTGTCTTCCTGGTCCCCTCTCCCTCCACTCTGGCCCAGAGCAGCAGTTGGTGCTGGGGGGAACTGATGATATATGCAGGAGACAAGATGGAACTGTCTTCCTGGCCGCCTCTCTCTTCACTCTGGCCCAGAGCAGCAGCTGGTGCTGGGGGGAACTGATGACATATTCAGGAGACAAGATGGAAATGTCTTCCTGGCCCCCTCTCTCTTCACTCTGGCCCAGAGCAGCAGCTGGTGCTGGGGGGAACTGATGACATATTCAGGAGACAGGATGGAACTGTCTTCCTGGCCCCCTCTCTCTTCACTCTGGCCCAGAGCGGCAGTTGGTGCTGGGGGAGGGTTCCCCAACTGATGACATATGCAGGAGACAAGATGGAACTGTCCCCTGTCTCCCCCTCTCTTCACTCTGGCCCAGAGCAGCAGTTGGTAGTGGGGGGAATGGGTCCCCAACTGATGACATATGCAGGAGACAAGATGGAACTGTCTTCCTGGTCCCCTCTCCCTCCACTCTGGCCCAGAGCAGCAGCTGGTGCTGGGGGGAACTGATGACATATTCAGGAGACAAGATGGAAATGTCTTCCTGGCCCCCTCTCTCTTCACTCTGGCCCAGAGCAGCAGCTGGTGCTGGGGGGAACTGATGACATATTCAGGAGACAGGATGGAACTGTCTTCCTGGCCCCCTCTCTCTTCACTCTGGCCCAGAGCAGCAGCTGGTGCTGGGGGGAACTGATGACATATTCAGGAGACAGGATGGAACTGTCTTCCTGGCCCCCTCTCTCTTCACTCTGGCCCAGAGCAGCAGCTGGTGCTGGGGGGAACTGATGACATATTCAGGAGACAGGATGGAACTGTCTTCCTGGCCCCCTCTCTCTTCACTCTGGCCCAGAGCAGCAGCTGGTGCTGGGGGGTCCCCAACTGATAACATATGCAGGGGACAAGGTGGAACTGTCTTCCTGGCCCCCTCTCTCTTCACTCTGGCCCAGAGCGGAAGTTGGTACTAGGGGGAGGGGTTTGGTTAATATCAAAAGGTAGAGATCTCACATTGACCTTTTGGCATGGTCAACAGCTGGTAGTTCTAGTTGCTTGCTCATCTGCTCCCATCTCAATTAGAACGACACAATCCTTAAATGAGTTTCATTATACTCCAAGCTATAGGAAATGATGTACCAAAAATAATGATTTTTCCTCTTTGTTTTTTATCCCCTCCCCACTTTTAAAGGTTATGGTTTGCCTGATGACATCGTGATAGAAGAACGAGGCAAAGCGGATGCCTTTGTTGAGTGTACGGGAGCCAATGTGAGAATCTCCAGCTTGAAGCTCATCCAGCATGATGCTGTCGAGGGCATCTTGAGTAAGTCCCTTAAGCTCTTATTCCCATATATCAAGGTATCTGATATACATTGTGGTTGAAAATAGCAACCTTACAAGCCTTCACTATTTGTTTGTTAATGTATATGTTCACTACCCTGTCTTGTATGTATATATATGGATTTGCAAGTTTGATTGCACCTCTTTGGTGTGGGAGATACTACAGGTATGTGATTGTACTGAGCATGTTCCGGACTCAAGACTCAATATTGTTATCGGTATGCTTTCGGACTTCAGGGTTAGCCGTTCGCTTTAGGCCTCAGTGGAGCTGGATTCAATTTGCTTTTGGACGTCGGTGGAAACAGTTTGTATTTTGGACTTACGCCAAAACAGTTTACTATATGTTTGCCTTGAGAAGCAGTGAGTACAGTTATACAGTTTGAACTCTCATAAGATGTATACTTAAATTTATTATTTATTTATTTACATCGTTTTTATCCCGCCCATTTCAGCCCGAAGGCGACTCAAACCGGCAACAGTTAGATGCACGAAAACTCAATATGCCCAAATGTGAAGACTGGTGGAGTTTGGGAAAAATAGACCTTGACATTTGGGAGTTGTGGTTGCTGGGATATATAGTTCACCTACAATCAAAGAGCGTTCTGAATTCCACCAACGATGGAATTGAACCAAACTTGGCACACAGAACGCCCATGACCAACAGAAAATACTGGAAGTGTTTGGTGGGCATTGACCTCAAGTTTGGGAGTTGTAGTTCACTTACATCCAGAGAGCACTGTGGATTCAAACAGTGATGATCTGGACCAAACTTGGGACGAAAACTCAATATGCCCAAATGTGAAGACTGGTGGAGTTTGGGAAAAATAGACCTTGACATTTGGGAGTTGTGGTTGCTGGGATTTATAGTTCACCTACAATCAAAGAGCATTCTGAATTCCATCAATGATAGAATTGGGCCAGACTTCCCAAAGCGAAATCCCATGACCAATAGAAAATAGTATGTTTTCTGTTGGTCTTTGGTGACCCCCAAGACACCCCCTCACAACCTCCCCGGGGGTCCCAACTCCCAGTTTGAGAAACAGTTTGGGACTGAAAACATAGTCATTGAGTGTCTCTTATGGTTTCTGAGCTCCATGGAGAACTTGCTAAAACTTTCCTCAACTTGCTGTTAGAATTCAGTTTCAGAGAAATCATTGGGGGCCCGTTTCCAATACTGAAGGAATCTTATAGTTCAAGATTGAGGAAATTGTACCCTGTGGTCGACTTTGATATCAAACATATTTCTATTTTAATTTTCTCTTTTTGTTCTTATTTCTGGGCAGGGGCTCTTCAATGGGGTTCTATCTCTGCATTTTCTCTCCCCCCCCCCCTTGCTGACTGTGTCCTTCTGCCTTTTGGAGGAGGTGCTAATTAACTTTCCGTGGCAGAAAGGTAGATTTGAATAACAAATGTGACATGGGCTAACAAGACTATTTCAGCACCTTTTTCATGCGAAAATATATTCACACACCAAAAAATATGGGTGGGAACCTGGGCCAGTGTTGGAGAAAAGTTCCTAACTGTGTGTCTTGTCCTTAGAGGGACTTTCTTTAAAATGCTCACCTTTTTCTAAATATTTAGCCTAGGAAGGACTGTGTACATGTTTGTGTGTGTGTATATAGGTGTATGTTTTTGTGTGTATATATGTTTTGTGTGTGTATATATGTGTATATGTATGTGTGTATATAGACTAGCTGTCCCCTGCCACGCGTTGCTGTGGCCCACTCTGTGTACATGTTTGTATGTGTGTATATATGTGTATGTTTTTGTGTGTATATATGTTTTGTGTGTGTATATATGTGTATATGTATGTGTGTATATAGACTAGCTGTCCCCTGCCACACATTGCTGTGGCCCACTCTGTGTACATGTTTGTGTGTGTATGTATGTTTTTGTGTGTATATATGTTTTGTGTGTGTATATATGTGTATATGTATGTGTGTATATAGACTAGCTGTCCCCTGCCACACGTTGTTGTGGCCCAGTCTGTGTATATGTCGTGACCCACAGAACACAGAATGTCTTAAACAGCAGTTGAGGTGCAAAATAGTAGTATTTTAATGCAAAACAAACTAAATGAGTCAGTGCAAACAGTTCAAAGGATGTTTTCAAACAGGAACACAAAATGCTAGATAAGCAGGCTTGAATTGCAGCCAAGAAATAACAAGAGATACGATGGACTAGGAGCAGAATACAAAACAAAACAGTCTTTAAGGGTTGCAAGGCATGGAGCAAAATCCGGTAGGCAAACGCGTAGTCAGTCAGTTCCAAGGGTCAAGAAGCCAGATGTACACTCACGAGCAAAGGTTCCAAGGTCCGGAGCACGGCAGGGAAAACAGGATACTGGGAATCCAAAACAAGATTAGGCAGAGAACAACACGAAACAACACTTTGTCGTCTGCAAAGGAATAGGTCTCAGAGTGCTCATTTTATTCACTATCAGAAGAATGAGATTCGTTGCTTGCATCTGATTCTGCTCCCGCAGCTGAAGCATCTACACCACGCCAAGCCTGCCACCTTTGCTCTAGTGCCTGATCCTGCCAATCAGTACTCTCATTCCCATTATCCCTAAAACCTTCAAAATCATCACTTGATGTTGCTTGATTGCAAATGTCTCTAATGTTCTGAACCAGAGTCCAGTCTACAGCCTCCTCCAACTCATCCTCACTATCACTGGAGTTATCTGCTGTGTCTCTAAGCCTCTTAGACATAGTGTCACTCTCACTGCCAGAATCACTAGCCACTCTCTTCACTCCCCTGTAATCTGCTTCCATAGCCTCCTCTGGCCTGAATCCTGCAAAGTCTTCTTCATCACTGGGAGCCAGAAAGATGTCACGAATACGTTTCAGCTGGCGCTGATTCTCCTCTGTTTCTGCATCACTCCTTCTTCTTCTCCTACTACTAGTAGTAGGTATGGTGTCAGAATGCTGACTCACAACAGTATATGTGTTTTGTGTGTATACACATATACACATATATGTGTATATGTGTGTGTATATATTTGTGTATATATGTGTGTTTGCATATGTATATGTGGTTTTGTGCATGCCTTGTAATGTAATTTTTATTTTTTGGCTCTTTTAAGTCTCTTCTGCTGTGTTTTTCTATGTTTTTATGAGTGATGGTCACTTGTTGGCCTGATAGGTGTATTGTGTCCAAATTTGGTGTCAATTCGTCCAGTGGTTTTTGAGTTCTGTTAATCCCACAAACAAATTTATATACTAGCCGTCCCCTGCCATGCGTTGCTGTGGCTCACATGGGGGTTCTGTGTGGGAGGTTTGGCCCAATTCTATCGTTGGTGGGGTTCAGAATGCTCTGTGATTGTAGGTGAACTATAAATCCCAGCAACGGCAACTCCCAAATGTCAAGATTCTATTTTCCTCAAACGCCCCCAGTGTTCACATTTGGGCATATTGAGTACTCGTGTAGAATTTGGTCCAGATCCATCATTGTTTGAGTCCACAGTGATCTCTGGATGTAGGTGAACTACAACTCCAAAACCAAAGGACACTGCCCACCAAACACTTCCAGTATTTTCTGTTGCTCAAGGAAGAACTGTGTGCCAAGTTTGGTTCAATTCCATCATTGGTGGGGTTCAAAATGCTCTTTGATTGTAGGTGAACTATAAATCCCAGCAATGTCAATTCCCAAATGACAAAATCATTTTTTTTGGACTGATGGTCACTCCTTGGCTTAGTAGGTGCCTTGTGGCCAAATTTGGCAGCAATTCATCTAGCAGATTTTGATTTATGATGTCACTCAAAACGAACAGAGCACTTTTATATATATAGACTAGCCGTCCCCTGCCACGCGTTGCTGTGGCCCACTTTGGTGGTCATGGGGGTTCTGTGTGGGAAGTTCGGCCCAATTCTAGCATTGGTGGGATTTGAGTTTGAGTCCACAGTGCTCTCTCGATGTAGGTGAACTACAACTCCAAAACTCAAGGTCAATGTCCACCAAAACTCTTCCAGTATTCTCTGTCATTAGAGTTCTGTGTGCCAAGATTGGTTCAGTTCCATCATTGGTGGAGTTCAGAATGCTCTTTGATTGTAAGTGAACTATAAATCCCAGCAACTACAACTCTCAAATGACAAAATCAATTTTTTTGAGTGAAGGACATACATTGGGTTGTTAGGTGTCTTGTGTCCAAATTTGGTGTCAATTCGTCCAGTGGTTTTTGAGTTCTGTTAATCCCACAAACGAACTTTACATTTATATATATATAGATGATCATGGTTCTCTATGGGCGAGCAGATGGTGACTGGTAGAGGACATATGTACTGCATCTGAAAAACTAGAGCTGATAGGGAGAAGCTGGTGCCATTTTTGGAATCAGCAGGTTAAATATATCCAGAAACAGGTCTAACACTTGAAGCACCAAAATGTGTGCGGGACAGTGTCATAGTTGTCTACTGTGGGAACATAGTGATAGACTTGCCAGGCTTTTGGTCTGAACCATGGTAGCTGTCCTTCTGTTTTTGTCATGAAGCTAATCTTATCCGTAAATGTCTCTCATTTCAACTCGTAGCACTTGCTTCTGTTTCTATAGAACCTCTTTCACCCATATGCTACTGGTCCATCTGCTTATTTCATGGGTGGAAATTGAGATGCCTTCTAGTTCTTGCTGAACGGCAATTCCCCGTAGTCCTCGCCAGCTCAGCCAATGGCAAAGAACGCTGGGATTTGACATCTAACAGTCCCCCCTGGTTTATTTAGAAGAGCTACAGTCTGCTTCTCAGCGTGACATTTTTCAAACTTGAGGAGCCACAGCCTCAAAATGAAGTCCAGAAATACAGTGAAAACAACGAGCGGAAAAGCACACCGCAGCCCATAAATCAAAGGCACCTTCATTTGTTTCTAACATGACGTCCACCGTGGCAGTATAATTTTAAAATATGCTTAAATAAATCACTCTGTGGTTTCTTTGGAAACAAACCCGTAACCTAAAAAAAGCATTTATAAGTGTATAAATAACATTGTGTAACACGATTTGCACTTATCCCATTCCCAGTTCAATTGTTTACACCACTGGGTTGTTGTAGGTTTTTCCGGGCTATATGGCCATGTTCTGGAGGCAATTTTTCTCCTGACGTTTTGCCTGCATCTATGGCAAGCATCCTCAGAGGTAGTGAGGTCTGTGGGAAGTAGGAAAAATGGGTTTATATATCTGTGGAATGACCAGGGTGAGACAAAGGACTTTTGTCTGCTGGAGCTAGGTGTGAACGTTTCAGCTGATCACCTTGATTAGCATTCAATGGCTTGGAAGTGCCCGGGGGGAATCTCTTTTTGAGAGTGATTTTATGTGCCTGTTTGTTTCCCCTCTGTTGTTTTGCTGTTGTGATTTTTGAGTCCTTTAATACTGGTAGCCAGATTTTGTTCATTTTCATGGTTTCTTCGTTTCTGTTGAGATTGTCCACATGCTTCTTGTGTATTTCAATGGCTTCTCTGTGTAGTCTGACATGGTGGTTGTTGGTGTGGTCCAGCATTTCTGTGTTCTCAAATAATATGCTGTGTCCAGGCTGGTTCATCAGGTGCTCTGCTATGGCTGACTTCTCTGGTTGGAGTAGTTTGCAGTGCCTTTCATGTTCCTTGATGCGTGTCTGGGCAACGCTGCGTTTGGTGGTCCCTATGTAGACTTCTTGTCCACAGCTGCATGGGACACGGTAGAGTCCTGCAGAGGTGAGAGGATCCCTCTTGTCCTTTGCTGAACGTAGCATTTGTTGGATTTTCTTGGTGGGCCTGGAGATAGTTTGTATGTTGTGTTTCCTCATCAGCTTCCATCTGCGGTCTATGGTTCCCTTGATTTATGACAGGAACACTTTTCCTCTGGGTGGATCTTCGTCTTGACTCTTGTGGCTTGTTCTGAGTCTTGCAGCTCTTCTGATGTCTGAGGTGGAGTCTCCATTGGCCAGTAGAGCCCAGTTGAGGTGGTTCAGTTCATCTTGGAGAAGATGAAAAATTGCCTCCAGAACATGGCCATATAGCCTGGAAAAACATACAACAACCCAGTGATTCCAGCCATGAAGGCCTTCGACAATACATTGTTTACACCACGTTTATAGTAGCTTATCGCCATCCGATGAGCGCTGTTTTCAGTTGAGTGTTAGTTTTTGTTTATATGTCCATTTGTTTTTAATTGTATCTCTAAATTGTTTTCATTTTCTGTTACGATTTTGGGCACCTTGTGCCATGTGTAAGCCACCCCAAGTCCCTTTGGAGAGATGGTGGTGGGATACAAGAATAACATTATTATTATTATTATTATTATTATTATTATTATTATTATTATTATTGCTATTAGCTGTCCCCTGCCACACATTGCTGTGGCCCAGTCTGTGTATGTGTGATTTGTGTATATATGTGAGTTTTTGTATATATATGTGTGTGTCTGTATGTATGTGTGCATATAAGTGTGTATATATTTGTGTATTTCTGTGTTTATATGTGTATATGTATATTGTGTATATGTGTGTGCTTGTGTATATGCATATATATGTGTGTATGTATGTATATATGTATATGTGTGTAGGTGTATATGTATGTGTGTATATGTGTATATTTGTGTGTGCTTGCGTATATATGTGTCTGTCTGTATGTGTGCTTGTGTATTTGCATATATATTTGTGTATTTCTGTGTTTATATGTGTATATGTATATTGTGTATATGTGTGTGCTTGTGTATATGCATATATCTTTGTATTTCTGTGTTTATATTTGTATATGTATATTGTGTATATGTGTGTGCTTGTGTATATGCATATATATGTGTGTGTATGTATGTGTATATGTATATGTGTGTAGGTGTATATGTATGTATGTGTTTGTATATTTGTGTGTGCTTGCGTATATATATATATGTGTGTCTGTATGTATGTGTGCATGCGTATATGTATATTTCTGTGTTTATATGTGTATATGTATATTGTGTATATGTGTGTGCTTGTGTATATGCATATATATTTGTGTATTTCTGAGTTTATATGTGTATATGTATATTGTGTATATGTGTGTGCTTGTGTATATGCATATATATTTGTGTATTTCTGTGTTTATATGTGTATATGTATATTGTGTATATGTGTGTGCTTGTGTATATGCATATGTGTGTTTATATGTGTATAGATATGTGTGTAGGTGTATATGTTGGTGTGTATATGTATATGTGTATATTTGTGTGAGCTTGCGTATATATATATATGTGAGTGTATGTATGTGTGCTTGTGTATATGTGTATGAACGTATTTGTATATGTATATATGGTTTATTTTGGGAGGTTTTAAAGTCTGTCCTGCTGGGTTTTTTGTGTGTTTTTAGGGATGACAATCACTCGTTGGCCTGATAGGCGTATTATGTCCAAATTTGGTGTCAATTCACCTAGTGGTTTTTGAGTTATGTTAATCCCACAAACGAACATTACATTTTTATTTATATAGATATTTATATGCTCATTTAGACGGAAAATAGCACTTTCAAACCAGGAACAGAATTTTTTTCAAATTTTGGTACATAGTGTAATCAGCCAAATTGTAATGCACTATCCTGACTCATGGAATTTTTTTTGTATGAGTGAGAATCGCTACACAATGTCATAGTGCTTTTCTTCAACAATGCCCTCTTGCAAGGTATTCTACAGAAATCCAAGCATTGTCTCCATCTTTCCCAATAATCCTGACAGATATGATTTGATGACCTTTTTAAACAGGTGTTCACCAAGGGAAAACCATGCTGGAGAATTGCGTCTTGCAGTGCAAGACAACTGGGGTTGCTGTCCGAACCTCGGCTGAGTTTTTAATGAAAAATTCAGATTTATATGGTGCAAAGGTAAGAACTGCTTCTGGCGTTTGTTTGGTTACTTACAGAGCAATGGTTTTTGTATGTATGTAGAAGTAACTCCTGTCATGCATAGCAAACCTCATCAATATTGCTGCTTTGGGTCTCTGTTAATAGAGAAAGAAGTGGTTAATAATAATAATAATAATAATAATAATAATAATAATAATGCCAGAATTTAAAAGTTGAGGACAGATCCCAAATGTAGACTCTGCAAGGAAGCAGATGAAACGATAGATCACATCCTCAGCTGCTGTAAGAAGATCGTGCAGACAGACTACAAGCAGAGGCACAACACCATTGCTCAGATGATTCATTGGAACTTGTGCCACAAATACCATCTGCGTGCAACAAAGAACAGGTGGGATGACAAGCCGGAAAAGGTTACAGAAAATGAACACATCAAACTACTCTGAGACTTCCGAATTCACACAGACAGAGTTTTGGAGCACAATACTTCTGACCTCACAATCGTGTTAAAAACAAAGTGTGGATTGTTAATGTTGCAATCCCAGGTGACAGCAGGATTGAAGAGAAACGACTGGAAAAGATGACAGGATATGAGGATTTAAATATCGAATTGCAAAGACTCTGGCACAAGCCAGTCAAGGTGGTCCCAGTGGTGATCGGCACACTGGGTGCAGTGCCTAAAGACCTTGGCCTGCACTTAAATACTATCGGCGCTGACAAAATTCCCATCTGCCAGCTGCAAAAGGCCACCTTACTGGGATCTGCAAGCATTATTCACTGATACATCACACAGTCCTAGACACTTGGGAAGTGTCAGATGTGTGATCCAATTCAACAGCCAGCAGAGTGTCTGCTGTGGACTCATCTTGTTGTGTTTCAAGGGAGGAGGAGGAGGAGCATCGCTTCAATGCTGGTGGTCTTTGCTTCTTTGCCAATACATCACATAGTCCTAGACACTTGGGAAGTGTCCGATGTATGATCCAATACAACAACCAGCAGAGTGTCTGCTGTGGACTCATCTTGTTGTGTTTCAAATAATAATAATAATAAAAAAGCAAGAATTGAAAAGTCGAGGACAGATCCCAAGTGTAGACTCTGCAAGGAAGCAGATGAAACAATAGATCCCATCCTCAGCTGCTGCAAGAAGATTGTGCAGATGGACTACAAGCAGAGGCACAACACCATTGCTCAGATGATTCATTGGAACTTGTGCCAGAAATACCATCTGCCTGCGACAAAGAACTGGTGGGATCACAAGCCGGAAAAAGTTACAGAGAATGAACACGGCAAACTCCTCTAGGACTTCCGGATTCAGACAGACAGAGTTTTGGAGCACAACACTCCTGACCTCACAATTGTTTTAAAAAACCAAGTATGCATTGTCGATGTTGCAATCCCAGGCGAGAGCAGGATTGAAGAGAAACAACTGGAAAAGCTGACACGATATGAGGATTTAAAGATCGAACTGCAAAGATTCTGGCACAAACCATATTTGGTTCTCATAAAATCCCATCATCTGTTCTGAATTCACACTAAATCCGAGCCTATCCAAGACTTCATTTGGTTCCAAAATCTGGCACGCACGTCATTGTTCCAAGGGAGTTTCACACTTCATAATTATATTTATTCCATTTCATTAGAATGCTGCCTTTGTACTAGAATGGGTCCCAAGGCAGTTCACAATTACAGCGTTATGATTCCATCATATCTGCCTTTGCTGCTTGCTATGGAAAACCTTGTTATCGTTGTGCTATAGCAACGTAGCATGGAAGATGTAAGGGAAAACTACTCAAAAATATAGCAGAGAATCCAAACACAAAAAGTAATAGTTTAGGCAGGCAAAGATGCAGAATCCAATCTTAATAATCACAAACAGTTTATTTACAATAATAAACAATTATATTTCTTCATAGTATGAGGGTTGAATGAAAAGTAATGCTTCCACCTTCGTTACTTGGTTTTGGATGGGAATATTTTAATAAATCAAACACAGAAATAATCCTTAGAATGTGCTCTTTAACTACCGCTATTCACTATTCCACATAATCACCAGACTATTGGATACATTTCTGCCAACAATGAACAAGTTTTCTTTTTTTTTTATTAAATCTTTATTGAGTTTCAAAATTACAATTAAAATACAAGCTGAGAATAGGAGAATATGTGCAATATGATATGAAACAGAAAATCCCGAAAGAAGAATTGTGTTTATTAGATATATAGAGTAAAGAATGTAAAATAGAGAAAAGCAGATATAAAGATAAAGAAGGAGAGAGAGAAAAGAAGAAGAAAAAAAAAGGGTAAGAATAAGAGTATAGAAAAGCCCCGAGCCTGGTTAAAAATCAGAGTAGTAGCTGTTTTCGACTTCCTGGAGTCATCATGAGGTCTTCTCCTTCTTCTTTCTTCTCTTCCTTTTCTTTCTTATTTCTCCTCAACTTCTTTCTCTTTTTCTTCCTTGATTCATTCTGTTCTTCGATTAGATTAGAATCTTCTTGTTTTTTTGTTTGAAGTAGACCATCACTTCTTTCCAATTTGTTTCTTTCATGTACATCCCTTTACTTCTTGCTATTAAAAAGGTAAGTCTGTCCATATTTTGGATTTCTAGAATCTTTGTTAGTCTTTCATTTTCATCTGGAATTTCCTTCTGTTTCCATCTTCTAGCGTAACAGATCCTTGCTGCCGTTGTGATCAGAAAGATAATTTTATCTGGATTTTCTTCTATCTTTAAATCATGCATCCCTAATAAAAAGAATTCCGCCTTCCATGGTATTTTAATTTTTAATATTTCTTGTAATTCTTTTTGTACCTCCCTCCAATATTCTCTTGCCTTTTTGCACGTCCACCAAAGATGAAAATATGACCCCTCTTCTTCCTTGCATTTCCAGCAGTCCGTACTAAGATTTCTCTTGCCCATCCCTAATTTCTTCGGTGTCATGTACCAACGGTGGGCTACTTTTAACCAGTTCTCTTTCAATTCAATGGCTTGACAATATTTTAGCTTTTCCTTCCAAATTTTTTCCCATTCTTCTTGTTTGATATTTCTTCTAATATTTTCATTCCATCTCTTTTTGTAGTTTTTGTCTTCTTTAGTTTCTAATTTCCACTCTAGCAATTTTTTATATACTTTTGTTATTAGTTTCTTTCTTGATTCCATTATATTATCCCAGAAGTTTTTTTCTTGGTTGAAGCCAATCTTTTTGTCATTTTTATACTTTTCTTTTATGGTCCAGTACTCCAGCCATGAGATTTTTTGATCCACTGTGTTCAATTCTTCTTGTGATTTCAAGATTATGTTCCCTCCCTCTACTTTTAGTAGGTCTTTGTATTTTATCCATTCACGCCACCCTGTGCATCGTCTCTGTCCTGCTTCTAGAGGGGATACCCACATAGGGGTTGTGTTATACAATTTGTCCTTATACTTTTCCCATGTGTTCAGCACCGTTGATCTTATGAAATGGTTTCCAAAATTCTTCTCATTTTTTTTCCTTTATACCATACATAGGTATGCCAGCCTTCTCTTAAGTCTGCTCCTTTCAATATTAACAATTTTTTCTTTTCTAATTTTGCCCAGTCTTTAGCCCAGAGTAGTGCAATTGTTTCTAAATATAGCTCGAAGTCCGGGGCTGCTAGACCTCCTTTTTCCTTTCTTTCTGTCATATTGTCAAAGCTAATCCTCGGTTTTTTGTTTCTCCAAATAAATTTTTTGATATCCTTATTCCAATCCTTTAAGATTTTTTTATTCCGAATAATTGGTAAATTTTGAAATAAAAATAGGAGTTTTGGCAAGATATTCATTTTTACTATTGCAATTCGTCCCAGCAATGATAAATTTATGCTTTTCCATCTTTCCAGATCTTTCCTTATCTCTTTCCATTTCTCTATATAATTATTTTGTAATAACTGTAAATTCTTAGATGTTAATATTATTCCCAAGTACTTCAACTTTTTAACTATCTGTATATTCCATTTGTTTTTTATTTCTTCTTGTTCTTTTTTCTCTATGTTTTTGGTTATTGCCTTAGTTTTTTCCATATTAATTTTAAAGCCTGAGACTTTGTCGAATTCTTTTATTGTCTTTATCCATTCCTCTAAGTTGTTCTTCGGATCCTCAATTATACAGATCACATCGTCTGCGTATGCCCGAATTTTATATTCCTGTCCTTGTATCTTTGCACCTGCCAATTTTTTTTCCTCTCTTATTTTATTTAATAATATCTCTAAGGTGAGGATGAAAATTAATGGCGAGAGGGGGCACCCCTGCCTTGTTCCCTTTCTTATCTCTATCTTTTCCGTCTCTTTTCCATTTACCAGTACTTTTGCCTCCTGTTTTTCGTAGATCGCCTCAATTGCATTTTGGAAATAAAATCCTAAGTCCATCTCTCTCATTATAATTTTGAAAAACTTCCAATTTACATTATCAAACGCTTTCTCCGCGTCCAAGGCTAAAAGCATTACTTTATTTTGATGTTTATTTTCATAATGTTCGATTAGGTCCACAATCATCCTCACATTTTCACTTTGATATCTATTAGGCAAGAAGCCGGCCTGATCTTCTTTTATATGTTTATCCAATAGTTGTTTTAATCTTTCCGCCATTATTAAACTGAAAATTTTGTAATCTACGTTCAATAAAGAGATTGGTCTGTAATTTCTAACCTGTTCCTTATCCGAATTCTCTTTGTGTATCAGGCAGATATTTGCTTGTTTCCATGACTCTGGGGTTTCCTTATAAATTCTTATCCTATTCATCATTTCCTTTAGGTATAGTACCAGCTCTTGTTGAAAAGTCTTATAATATATTGCTGACATCCCATCCGGGCCCGGGGCTTTGTTTGGTTTTAGTTTGTTTATTGCTTCTTTGATTTCTTTCTCTGATATTTCTTTATTCAGGTGTTCTCTTTGTCCTTCCAAAATTCTTTGAATCTTATGATTGGCTAAGTATTGATAAATCTCCTCTTCTTCTATGTTCTCATCTTGATATAATTTCTTATAAAATTCATAGAATTGTTTCCGAATCTCTT